ACAGGCGAGGCGCGCCTAGCCGGCGAGGCAGCTCGAGGAGTCTCAGGGGGTGGGCTCGAGCCCAGGAGGCGTGGCAGTAGCTCCAATAAAATCTGTGGCCAGGGTAGAGATAAATTCCAAGCCCGCCTCCCACCCTGGGCTGTCCTTTACTCAACCAGCGCTTACTTGGCGCAGCCGAGGGGATGTGGCGTGAGTGGTCGGCGTCCGTAAAGACACGTTGAGCACGATGACGCAATTCATAACAATGAGCGTGGCAACCACCATGACGAAAATAAGATACCTGAGATACCCGGGAGGCATGATGTCACAGCATCCCACTAAACAGGAGAGGCTGTTGGCTGTCTTTCTACTTCACAAACAACTCCACGCAAGTGGAGGAGTTACTTCACTGAGGTACCCCTCCACGACGCCAGTATTGTCCCCGCCCTTCTGCACCTACCATCTGTTGCAGCCATGAAGGGGACTCCCAGCAACTTGGACACCCTGCTGTGGGTCTACCATTTCCACAGCTCCACCGAGGTGAGAGTAAGAGAATGGCCCACCCAAAGGCGGCATCTGGAGAGGTCTCCAGCGCCTGCTGCTGTGACCCGTTCCATGTGACCAGACCACTCCACTACCCCTGCTTCTCCAGGTGGCCCTACAGCCTCCGCTTCTATCTTCCCTGGAACTTGCTGTGGCCGCAGCTCACGAATATCTGGTGCAAAGGTTCAGAGAACTTAAGTCCCAGGAGTCCCTGGAATCGGATAAGCCGGATAAGCCGCCAGCCCAGAAGGCCACCTTAGGGCTGGTGCTAAAGGAAGCTGCGACCAGCATCGTGAGCTTTGGCGCCACCTTGTTAGAGGTGCAGCCCTGGGGAGTTAAGGGATGGGAAGAAAAGGGGGAGAGGGCTAGGCCAGCAAAAGCAGAGACCTTTAGCCCCTGTGCCCCCAATGCAGATCTCCGCCCTGTGGCTACAGCAGGAGGTGCAGCTACTGGACAGCAGGGGCAGGGGGGCCAGGCCTGGACACTGGGAATCCAGGGAGGGCGCTGGCCCGTGTAGCCCGGGCTGCAGGGCAGGGGATTCGGCAAGCTGGAGCAGCAGCTGGTGCAAGTGTCCGGTATCTGATCCAGGGGGCGTGGCTGTGCCTGAGCGGACGTGGTTTGCAGGGGTCCACCTCATCCCTGCAACAAACCCTATGCCAGCTGGGCCTTGGGGTCCCCGGGAATCCGGTGCGTTCGGAATAAGGGGTGTGGCACGAGTCAGAGGAGGTGGGATTGAGGATATACTGAGCCTTACTGACCTCTCCACAGAGATACTCGGGAGACCTCAAGGTGGCATCCAGCAGCAGTGAGGAGAACGGGGGACCAGATAATCCAACATTGTCCCAGCCCCACCCTGTGTCCAAATAAAAACCCAGAACGGGACAACTGCAAGTCCCCTAGACCAGCCTTCTTTGGATCTGCCCTCCATGCTGGTACCCCATCTCTGTGGGATTACCTGCCCAGCAGTGGCACGCTTAGAGACGTCTCTGGAATTTTCTGGGCAATTAGGAACAAGAAGACAGTCTGGGCTAGCAGGACATTGATTGAGACCGTGCATTTCTGGCCACCGGCTAGAGGGAACATACTGTGAGAGGCATCCCAAGGAGCGAGGCCAACCTGGGGTTTAGGAGACAGGGGTCACCCCCTTACCCTGCGCAGGCAGGAAGTAAGCGAGCAGCACTAAGCCGGAAATGAGCACACACGGTACAATGATGTTAATGACGTAAAAAAGCGGCTTCCGGCGGATGATGAGCGTGTAGATGATGTCAGTTTCTCTAGGGACTTCTGCGGAGCTTCCCTCATAGTGGCGAATCATGCCTGGGCAGTAGTCGATGGCCCATTCTCCATTCTCTGCAGGACACGGGGTGCAATCAGACCAAATACCTGCAACTCCAGGCTGAGTGCGTCGGTGCAGCTGTCAGGGCCCAAGTGCACCTCTTGGACCCTGGGCTGTTAGCATGGGGAAGTATGGGCAGAGATGGGCATTCCTGGTAAGGGTGTGGAAAAACCTCAAGTGAGGAGAGGGGCCTAGTGTGACAATTGAGAGTGACTTCAAGAAGAGCAAGCTTGAGTTGTATGCCCCAAGTCCCCTCCTTGGACCTCATCTGGGAAAGGATTTGGAGAAAGGGATAACCCCTTCACCCGTAAAAGCTTCGGTGTCGATCTCAATGTTGTCGATGGCCTTGCCACTGTCATCCACCGCAAAGATGAACTGCACCTCTTCAGCATTGTAGGTCTGGGAGCTGTGAAGCAGAGCCAGGCTTCACCCCAGAAGCTGGGGCCCTCCTTAGTCCTGCCCCGGAAGCTTGAGTCTGGCAGGCAACTATGGCTCTACTCTCGTCCATACCCCCAGCACATCTGCTTCCAGCTCTACTGCCTTTTTGGTCTGGCTTGGTTGCAACAAGGGCTTGCCATGCTGTCCAAGGAACTCCTAGACTCAAGTGATTTTTACGCCTCGGTCTTCCTGAGGAGTAGCTGGGACTATGGGATAAAACTAACACCAAGAAGCCTGCGCACCCCTACTGCAGCCCCAGGTTGAGGCACTCACTCCAGTGCCTCACTCCACCACCTGCACAGCCCTTCCACAGAGACGCCCACCTGCTCCTCCACATCAGTCCCTGTCCCCTGCTCTAGCCCCCTCTCAATCTCCTGCTTGAAGTGAGACTCCCCACCGAAAAATGAGAGAACAGTTCTGCCAGTCGAAGGGGAAGTAGGTGACCTCCACCGCGCAGGTGCTGTGATAGATGGCTGGGGGCAACCAGGTCACATAGCCTCCCTCGCTGACCAGAACATTGCAGTCATAGGCCACTCCAAACTGCCCATCGATACTGTGGAGACCAAGTTTTTCACAGTATTGAAACGAGCACTGAACCTATTCCACCAACAAAGTCCTCCCAAACTGTTCTCCTTGCAGCCTGGCCTCTTGGCCAATCCTTACTTGTTTTCCAGAACAATCTCTGGCAGCCATACATGTTCTGAAGGGACCCTCAGGGTTTCCACCCCTGCAAAATCGTCCTTGCTGAAGTTCAGTCGGTAGTCATGCCAGTCCTAAGCAGTAGAGGATAGAAGGCTGTGTGCTCTCCATCTCCCACCTGGTAGGAAGAAAGGGGTTGGCCGGTCACCCTCACACTGCTCCCCAGATCTGACTCACAATTCCAATCCAGACGTTGGTGGTCAGAGTCTCCTCCTTCTCGTTCTACAAGAGGAATGAGTCTGTCTGAATTCAGGAGTTAGGGCTAGAAGTGAAGGTGCAGGCATAGGAAGGGGGGTTAGCTTACCAGTGAGATGAGGTTGGTTAGGGTGACCTTGAGGGTGATGGTAACAGTGTCCTCAGGCCTCCTCACTGGCCGGCTTCCTGGGTCATACTTGTCGAAGAGATGGTGATACAGGCTAAGCTCTTCATTCTTGCCCTCGCTTCTGCCTGTGATATGCCGAGAACGAAGGGTCACTAGACATGAAGCAACAGCCTAAAAGGTTTCTCTCTGCCCCCTGGGCCTGTGCAGGCCTCCTGTGTTTATCTTTCTGGGTTTCTCCTAAACCAACAATAGTGCACCTGGGGACCAAGTACCATCTCAGTCTACACCCTGGTCTCAGTCTTTCCCCTTGTCCCTTCAGGTTGGTATATGGATCCACCTGGCTTCCCCTACCAAGTAGTGCCAAGAGAAGCAGGGCACCAAGCAGAGCTCTTGCCATCCTGCTGTCTGGTTCTCAGAGTTATTCTGAGATTTGACAGGCTTGAGGGGCAGGCCATGGTGCCTGGGTGAAGGGGAGGAGGGTGTTAGTTCCGGGCTAGGTTAGGGGACTGTCACCTAATCCTCTATCCTTGCTGTAGCTGAGGACAGTTTGGCTGCTTCCAGAGGCAGCTGCCCCATCCTGTCCCTTGCCCACCCCATCCCAGCATCCTTTGCCTGGGCTTTAGCCAGCTTTGTTAGCCACAGACCTGATACCTCATGAGAGAAGCAGGCCTCTAATAACAGCGAAACCACAAGCCTTTGGGGTAGGCTTCAGTGTAGAACTCCCTTTCTCAACACACTGGTATCCTCTGTGTGCCTGCCCTGTATCTGTGATTCTGACTAATATAGCCGAGGCAGAGAACATCCATGCCTCCCATACTACGCCTGTCTGAATTAGTTTTTTTTGCTTGTTTTTTGAGACAGGGTTTCTGTATGCTGTCCTGGCTGTCCTAGAACCCACTCTGTAGACTACACTGGCCTCAAATTCACAAAGATCCACCTGCCTCTGCCTCCCTAGTGCTGGAATTAAAGGCATGCACCACCAACGCCCAGCTTCTTAGTTACTTTTCCATCACTGCGCTAAAACACCATGCCCAAGGCAGTGCATGAAAACACTTAATTTGAGGATCATAGTTCCAGAGGGTTATGGCCCATGACCGTCATGGTGGGGAGCATGGCAGCAGGCTGGCAGACATGGAGATGGGACAGCAGCTGAGGGCTCAGATCTCTCAGATGATAACCATGAGGCAGAGAGAACTAACAATTCTTTCAAAACCTCAAAGCGCACCCCCAGTGACACACCTCCTCCAACAAGCCATACCTAATCCTTCACAAACAATTCCACCAACTGGGGATCAAGCATTCAAACATGAGCCTGTATGTATGGGGGTGGGGATTATTCAAATCACCACAACCCCCTTGTAGAATACATGCTATCATACCTTTGCAGGAGCCAAGTCACACTAATACAGTCAGACAGAAAGCATAAAGATCCATAAAGATCTGGCAGTAAAACAGTAGTCACACAGAATTAGTCTGCAGTGACACACTTGACCTGTCAGAGATTCTGCTTCAGTACTGGGCCCAACTCCTTCAACATCACCCCAGGATAAGCCCACTTTGACCCACTTTGAGTTGGACATCTGCTATTCCCAGTCTATGTTTACTGCCACTTTATCACAGGTGACACTGTCTTTCCACCTGTTGTCCCAACAACCTTGGTCTTACTGTAACCCAGGCTGGCCTTGAACTTGTGAACTTCCTGCAGCTATCTGGGTGCTGGGTTGACAATGATGAGCCACCAGGCCTGGGTTTCATTGTTTTATTTGTTTCTAAGACAAGTCATCTGTAGCTCAGTCTGGCCTTGAACTCCTTGGTGTGATGAGATACTCAGAATCTGCATTTTAAAAAAGCTATCCAGATGTTATTCATAGGATAAAAAGAGTAGGAATAATTCTGATGTTTTTTTATTTTGTTGGCTTTTGAAGGAGGGGATTTCTTTTTTCTTTTTTCTTTTTTTTTCCCATTTTTCAAGACGGTTTTTCTGTGCTGGAACTAGCTCTTGTAGACCAGGCTGGTCTTGATGGTCTCGAACTCACAGAGATCCACCTGCCTCTGCCTCCCGAGTGCTGGGATTAAAGGCATGGGCCACCAATGCCTGGTGAGGGAGGGGATTTCTTGAGATAGGGTCTCACTATACAGGCCAGTCTAGCCTAGAATGTGTTGCATAGACTAAACTACACAATCCTCCTGCCTCATCTTCCTGGATGCTGAGATTCCAGGCATGTGCTACAATGCCCAGTTGGAAGCTTAAACCTTACACATCACCTCAGCCCAGCAAAACTATCACTAGTGTCCTAAATGCGTGAAGAGTCTACAGCAGAGGGTCTCACACAGGTGTGTTGGGTGAAGAGGCTACGGTGGAGGGTCTCTCACAGGTGTATTGGGTGAAGAGTCTACGGTGGAGGGTCTCTCACAGGTGTGTTGGGTGAAGAGGCTATGGTGGAGGGTCTCTCACAGATGTGTTGGGTGAAGAGGCTATGGTGGAGGGTCTCTCACAGATGTGTTGGGTGAAGAGGCTATGGTGGAGGGTCTCTCACAGGTGTGTTGGGTGAAGAGGCTATGCTGGAGGGTCTCACAGGTGTATTGGGTGAAGAGTCTACGGTGGAGGGTCTCTCACAGGTGTGTTGGGTGAAGAGGCTATGGTGGAGGGTCTCTCACAGGGGTGTTGGGTGAAGAGGCTATGCTGGAGGGTCTCACAGGTGTATTGGGTGAAGAGTCTACGGTGGAGGGTCTCTCACAGGTGTGTTGGGTGAAGAGGCTATGGTGGAGGGTCTCAGGTGTATTGGGTGAAGAATCTACAGTGGAGGGTCTCTCACAGGTGTGTTGGGTGAAGAGGCTATGGTGGAGGGTCTCACAGGTGTATGGGTAATAATGCATAAGACTTACTAATCAACTTTATTCATCATGTGCCTCTGTGATTATTTTACATTTCACAGAACATTTATGGTCGTTTCCTCATTTGTTTCTCCTACCTGTGAGATTCCCTCAAGCATCTAAGGCCAGCAGGGTCATGTGTCTCCTTGTCTGTTCCTCACACTCTCTTGAAGCCCCATTTCTCCTGCTACCTGTGTTATTTCTAATTTTCCACTGCAGATCCCAGAAAGGATTTGTGGGAGTGAACTCACCACCTTGAAGACCATGCTGCTGCTGCTTAATCCAGTCTCTGAGTTAGGGTTTGGACCAAGCAGCATGGTGCTAAATGCAGACTTTATTAAAACATTCGTGGGCACTTACCAGGCAGATACTGTGATTATAAAGGTTAATAAGAGTAGCTTTCTAGCCAGTCAGTGGTGGTGCACACCTTTAATCCCAGCACTTGGGAGGCAGAGGCAGGCAAGATATTTCAGTTCAAGACCAGCCTGGTCCACAGAGTGAGTTCCAGGACAGCCAGGGCTACATGGGGAAACCCTA